TAAATCACTGTACAAACACAAGGAAGTCAGGGACGCAAGCACATGCAACTTCTCTGCTATAAACAGGCCCATGAAACATTCATCTGAATCCAGTTATTACAGCTTCCCCATCCCCCCATCATAAAAGAGTAAAATCGCCCTCTCCTTCCCTCCCTCCGCTCCTGTAAATCCCTCCATAGCGCTCCGGCACAAACATCTGTCTCCGCTGGACACCGTGGCATTAAACGCTGCATGCAACGTCCGGCATCACTAGACCTGTGCATGCATGTCATGCCTCATGAAAGAGAATAATGTGTTACATTTTAGACCTGAACAAAATCTGAATCTTAAACCAAACTGGTAAAATATGGACAGAAAAACAGTACACGTGGTTTAAGTAAAAGGTTGCAGCATCCTCTCTGAACTCACCTCTGTCCCTGCAGTCTGCAGTCTGCCTCATGCCTTCATTATTTCACAGCGTGTATTTGGAGCACGAGCACATACACACTCGTGTACACACACCACCGCCGATTTCTGTGCCGCTCTGCCACCAGCTAAACCATCCCTCTCGCGCTCTCTGTGTGTCACACACACACACACACACACACACACCCTTGTCTGCATGCAGCTCCTCTCTTCACACACACACACACAGTCGGTTTGACACGAACACCGTTCTTCTTGTCGCTGTTCCTTGGTAACGGTGGAATCTGAGCCACATCACGGCCCCCCACGCTTCTGCCCTCCTTCCCCACCTATCCCACAATTCCCTCCTCCCTCTCTGGGCCACAGAAATTAATATTTCAGCATGCAAATGTAGCGTGGTGCTGCATCTCACACCACCAAAAAACTAAACTAAACAAAAAAAAAAAAAAAGACAGACAGTCATGACTTTTTTAAAGCCGGTCACAGCGGGTGAAATTGCTCACTCATTTGTGTGGCGTATTAATTGACGGGCCTCTCAGCAACTACACTGACATCATTCTTCAGCTCCCATGAGAGCACACTCTCTCAGGCACTGCTAGGTAACTGGGTTACAAACGCAAACATGAACTAGTACAGAGAACGTGGCATACTTTAGGAACATGAATAACTGGCTGATAAACACTATAGATTGAAAGCTGTTGCTCTTCAACAGAGCACAAATCATTTTATTGTCAAGTCAGTATTATGAAACCCTTTCCAATATATTGTAAAACCAAGCATAATAAAACTGCTGTTAGCGTTCTGTAGAAATATTATGCCCGTTAAAAGTTTACTAATTAAGGTCCTAAAAGTTCAGTGCCAGCTTTGATGACAAATCTGTGTCAGCTCAGGATTTTTCCATGTATTGACACAAGCCTGTTAATGATAATCCAATACTGCCATTCGCTGGTCGTGAACACCCTGAAACTCACTGCAACTAATCTGACAGTTACACATGGTTTGGCAAGTAGAACGCTCTTTTTACTTTCAACACTTTAACTACACACTGCAAGCTAGGGGTGTGCGATATATATCGTCTGCGATAATATTGTAATTGCTGTTTTAACGATGTGCGATTTGACATTATCGAGTATTTTGCAAAAACCATTCAAAACATCCCTACAGAGCGCACGCATACATTACGTGAAGTCTAGACTAGTGCGTGTGCATTTAGAGTGCGTTCTTTCACTGCACGATTCAGTCTATTAAAATGCATTTAGAATGATCACAAATTCAAGACATGGCAGAAAATTTATATATTTATACCACTTCATATAGTTATTCAATTTCACAAGAAGAGTGCCGTTTTTCTCCAGAAAATACCATGATTACAAATGTGACATTGAATTCAATAAACAATAAGTTAATTAAGAAACTTACGTTTTAGACACCATATTGCTTGTTTTTGCTCTATTTCGCCAACAAAAATCATCCCGAATACAGCCACAGCGCTGTTTTGTGTCTCTGAGCAACATGATGATGTTTCGTTCTTGAATGAATCAATCGTTTAAATGATTCGGTTCAATCGCAATGACTCACTTATTAAGAGGGATTTGCTGCCACCTGCTGGCGGTTTTAATTTCAAATTTCGGCTTTTTCTTTTTATAGATTTTTATCATGTTTTAAATAATTTCAAATATCAGTATTCAACGTTTTATGTTTAATATATCAAAACATTATTTATGCATTTGTAATTGCAGATTAAATGCATTCATGTCTTGCATCAAACAAAATACGTGTGTAAATACATCTAAATGCCACTTCAGATGCAGCTTCTGTGCTGATTTCATTTGCTTGGTAACAGCCCAAATGTCTTATTATTCTAATTCCCTGATTAAATGTAAAAATTTGACTGAAAAGATAATGGACACTTCTAGAAAAAATGGCTTTGTAAAGGTAAAAATCTGTATATCAGTATGAACTGACCACCACACAGAATATGAAGAATATTAAAAACATTATGAGTCAGCTGTCTTTGGCAGTCCTTAAGGTACCAGCACAATAACACACAAAGCAAAATATCGTCTAATTATCGTCATCGATAAAATCCCAGAAAATAGAGATATTATTTTTTGTCAATATCGCACACCCCTACTGCAAGCACAATATACTTTAATAATGGCTAAAAACATACCATACAAAAAGCATGTGAATGCCGCTGCTTGGCCAACACATTAAAACATTTCAGTCTTGCTGTGCTTCACCAAAAGTGGCGATAATTCCTTTCAAATATTCATTAAATTAAACCACATGTTTTTCTGATAGCTAAACTCACTAATAAACACACTAATAAGATCAAGATAACATGCTGAGCAAAACTCTCTTCAGTTACTGTTGCAAAACAACTTTCCATAAAGGTAACAGTTCACGGTAATCGAAGCGCCCCTTGTGGCAACGTTTAGATTGCAACATGTCTTATGAAATGTGGAACTGACTTCGAGTAGCAAGAAGAGTTCGCATTTATATATTTGCATGGAGTGTTTTTTATGATTGTTTAGTTTTTGTCACACTGCACCACTCGCTCATATATAGGCAATGTTACAAATTATATATGGTATGTGTGGTATATAAATCACAATCATCAGAGAAAGTTTGTACATGCACTCCAGGTCTCGCAAAATCGCTAGCTCGACGTCCCGGGGCTATTGTGTTTTCCAGTCGGGCTACCAAAATGTATCACCACTCTGCCCGACAGGCTATGTTAAATGCAGATCTCCCGCGGGTCCTTAAAAACTCCTAAAGTGAGTTGTATCAAACTTAAGGCCATAAAAAGTTTTAAATATGTTAAATGGTATAAGAAATGTCTTAATTATAATTTCAAGAGGTATTACAGTTGGGGACGGAAAGACAAGAGTCGTGATACGACTGGATTAAACTTCAAAAAGGCAATGATGTAATTGAATAAATATGAGAGCTGCACGATTCAAGTCAAAACACGGCACGGATTTATTTGAATGTATCTGAAGGGAACTGACTGTCCTCAGAAACGTGTCGTTATTTTTATAGTATAGTAATATTTATACGTTTTAAATTGACAATGTATATGCTTGATTTATCCCTTTTCATAAAAATGGTCTAAAGGCTGAAATGCTGTTGTATAAGATTTTTGTTTTTGTGAAAACCTGTATCTGAATGGTAAATCATGTAATTTTATGGCTCAGTACTGTATGTTACCACAGAAATTGTCCAACCCCACTCATACGGTGTTCATTTTACTTGTGCAGCACTTAAAATGGGTCATAAATGGCCTTAATTTATTTGTAAAAATTCTGTAGATACCCTGTAAATAGTGAAATAAAATTCCTTCCTTCATATTTGTTGATATTTGTGTATTGAAAATATTTTTGATTGACATTTAAACTCCTATCTGATTTTCTATATTTAAAAAAAAAAAAGGTATTTTTTTATTGGGGTACCTGCCCGAAGGGCTACCAAGGATTTTGAAATTTTGTGAGCCCTGCACTCTTAAAAATAAAAAAGGTACTTTATTGGCATCTATGTTTCTATTAAGAACATTTTACACCCATGGAACATTTTACCATTTCAGTGGGAAAAAAATTCTTAGATTACACACAGAAAATCATTAGATACACAGGGGAAAAAAATGGTTCTTTTAAGAATCATTCACAGAAAGGTTCTTTGGTGAACCCAAAATGGTTCTTCTATTGCACTGCAGTGAAACCCCCCTTTGGAACCTTTATTTTTAAGAGTTTAACACAACCAATGAAGTTTTTTCCCAAGAATTGATGCTACTGGTGGAATAAGCACTATCAAACCAATTCCAGCAAGGAGAGACTTCTGCTGATCAAACAAGTGAAAGCAAACAAGATTAGTGGAATGGAACAATGGTAGATTGAGCACATTCCCTATGAATTAAATTACGATTAAAGAGGACAGGGAGCTCTCTGCTTAACCCACTGCTTACGTAACCACTCAGGATTTTATCCGCTAAAATGGTCCATCAGACAGCAGAGAACATTAGAAATGGGACAGGATGATAAACATTTTTCCAGGTACATGAAAATCCCCATGCACTGTACACTCTGTAAAAAGAACACGCACATATTTACAAATCTTTCACTTTCTGAATTACTAGTCTAAAAACAGCCGATCGCACAAAACAGCTGAGAACAATTGGATGAGCGACGGAGCGTCTTGAAACATATCCAACCTACTAAAATAGCTCTACTAGACATTCAGCAGTGACGGAAATTTACACACTCCAAAGAACAGGAAACCGAGCCTAAACCTTCAACTAGCAAAGCGTCTGATGTTTCGCTAAATCAATAATACAACACTCATAAATAATGAGGAAATCAATCAATAAATAATTGCATTTTGGATTAAATGGAGGTTTTCCAGCATCAACATAACGTGGTGAAACCCTTACAGCTCCTGAATGGATCGATTAAAAACAATAACAACCTTAAATAAACCTAATTTGATAGTGATCAGCATTGTATGTATCAGCCAACTAAACAGACCTGAAGATCAACCTCAAACACACATTCCTACATTCCTCCCCTCATTCCCTTCACCTCCATTTTCAATCTCACCTGTGCTCTCTTCCTCCTCTCATGCACATTATCCAGGTGAACGGATCTTCTTTTACTTGCTCTGCTGGGTCCATCCAAGCATCTTTCAAAGTCATGCTGTCTAGACACTCTTGAGGTCTCTAGTGGTCCAGAACCTTCACGCAAGTGGTGCTTGTTCCTCTTCTTGCGTCCCAGTTTGGCTACATCTGGTCTTTGCTGCTCGGGACCCTCAATAGCCTTGGGTTCAGAGGGTTCCTGGACCTTGGGTCTCTTAAACAGGTTGTGGAGAGACAGCAACACCAGTGTGCACAGCACATACATGGTGGCGCTGACTAAGAGAGTCACAAATAAGTCAAACAACACATTCAGTCAGAGAAAGAGATGCAGTATTCCTTAAAAGTCATTCCAGCAGATCCCGTTTCAGGGTCAGTGCAAGCAGAGAACACTATCTTCTGGTTGAAGTTACAGTCGTGATATCAGCTCTACTGCACTGCCCTGTGTAATGGTGAGATTCTGTCAAACTGAAGTCCAAAAAGCAACCAAAAAGTTTGGAATAAAGTCCACCAACAATAGTTGCCTTCTTGCTTCTTTTCCCACCAGTTCTTCGCCTTATTCACACGTGCTACATGTTCAGAACATGTTTTTCAGACACCCCAGAGCTCGACTTCTTCTAATGCTCATTTAGGCTGATAATCTGTCCGTGATCTGATCAGCAAATGAGATGGCTGCTCTCATCTCCCATTCTGAGGGAGGATGAGGGAGGGCCGACTAACGCACACCTGCTTTTAAACCCCACAAAGCCATTTGAACCTACCTGGACACATCTATAAAGACACACCCTGATAAACAAGCTCATGTAAAGCCAATGCAAACACACGCAAACTTGTGGAATAATAAATGACTAGTTTGCTAATCAGGAATAGCTTCTGATTGTTGAGTCCATATCGTCACGTCTCCATTCCTCCTCTTTTGAGAACTTCCAATGTTAACCTGGATAACAATACAGGTTTATTCCAGAGAAATCTGATCAACTGAGTAATCATGAATCATCAAAACAGAATCATAACCTCCACTGGCACAAGCTGATATCCAACAAATCTTCACCTCTTCTTGCGTCACTAATGGTTTTATTGCATTGTTTACGGTCTCTGGATTGCAGGAATAAAACTCTCACGGGTCAGCCCATTCCTTCTGTCATAACGCCTGGTATTGATAGTCCTTATCCCATTTTGTGGTCCATACGACTGGGCAAACTCCAAACGGTCGCAGTCCGGCCACTTCTGCGCTGCGGGTGAAGTCCCACACCTCTTCTGAAAGAGAAAATGCGTTTCACTCTTTCTCCCTCCCTTTTCTCATGGTGTCCATCTGTCACTGCAGTACAGAGAGCTTAACGTCTCTTAGCAATGATGTAACAACGGTTTGCATTATGCAAAAAGAAGAAAATCAACTTAATGTGTCGATAAAGAAGCCTGTCCGTGATTGGTCATTGCCATGGTGAGATGACCTTGTCGAACTGCATCTTACAAACCAGTCCATCATGTTTCGGACAATAAACAGAAAATAACATAGAAGTGGGCAATTTAGGGAATGGCTCACAGTGAGAGCTGACAGTGTCGATCTTGAAGGCTGAATTATGATTTGTGGTCACAAAAGATCATTGAAGCCTTGTTTTAGAAATTTAGGATAAAAAAAAGGTGTCACGTTCTCTGCATGTGCGCAGACAGACAAAAGACCATCTTCTGGTTCATTACCCTTTTTAGGGGCCTGCCTGTCACATACTTCAGACCAAGAACAAACAATAATAGTGCCTGTTCTAACTAAATTAACCAATGAATTAGTCAGTGCTCAAAAGACTAAATGGCATATTACACATTTTATTAAAAAACACTCGGTATAATGTGGGAAAAACTTGAACATTGCAAATAATTTCACTGCAGAGGAATGCATTTCTTTTATAGAGCAAGGGTGTCTGATCTTGTTCCTGAAGGGCCAGTACTCTTCTAGAGTTTAGCTACAACACAGCTGCCTGAAAGTTTCTTGTGAGTCTGAAGACCTTGATTACTTTGGTTCAGGTGTGTTTAAGGGCTGGGCAATAATGATAATTATCGCAATATAATTTCTCAAAATGATAACGAGTTCAATAAATGTTCAATATAATGCTTATACAACAAAAGCAGAACAAAACAGCGCTACTCATTTGAACCACGGCGCACGGACCATTTATCTCTAGAAACAATGTGCGCAAAAATACAGTTAGAAGGCTTTTCAATCTAAATCGCCATCATTTACCATGGATTTACTGTAGTAACACTAAATGCACTATGGTATTGTGGCAGAAATGTGGGATATTCATATCAAATTTTACTATATTATTAATGTAGACATGTATTAAATGTATTTAATGCACTGCAAACTGTGCTGAAGATGCGCGTCAAAGTCAGGCAACACAAACCAGTTTCATGATTTGAAACAATTTCACTAATTAGAACATGCAGAAACTAAGAAATTATTTTTTATATTAAGATATTTATATTGTTATGGAAAAATTACTGGAAAAGTGTAAGAATTCAAAAACATGAAGTGTTTGGCATATTCTGACCATAAAGTGTAGTTTAAAACCATAATTAACGGCTTTCAATTAGGAGCAAAAATCTGCCTTTAAACTTGAAAGAAATAAAAATTTGAAACTTGATAATTATCAATTTTGACTGATATGAAAAGTTTCCCTGTGATCATTTTTTGGCCATATCGCCCAGCCCCAGCTAAATTCTGCAGGACAGTGACCCTCCAGGAACAGGTTTGGACACTACTGTTATAGAGCAGTGAAAGCTGTCTGTGATCAAACCAATTAAAGGTGCAATCAGATCAGGGTTATAAAAAGATAGGCATGCAGGTGAAATCACAAAAAAAGAAAAAAAAAGAAAAGAAATGGCAACACTAGAACCTTACTAAGATAAAACTTGACTTGTCTAGATGACAAAGCACGAAAAAGGTCACCAAAAGGCCACCTTACACGAAATGCAGGACACAACCAACCACAATACAATTCAACTGGAAACTACATGGGATGTCCTCTGTATCACCGTATCAAACCCAAAAAGATATTCTTTATAAAAGTTAAGACTGGTCCACGCCCTCCTAAAACACCTCGTTTAAACATGCCCCCACATGTCTAGGTCATGAAGTGGGAAGATTTGCATAATGCCGCCCAAATGTTCATGCAAAGAAAGGCGGCGTAACTTTATTGTTGCTGCCAACGCCGCCGCCGCCATGTTGTGAAGATGCTGTGTGTTTCGTTGTGAAAGCGAAACTACTTTGTTTGGCCTTCCAAAAGAGGACACGACTAGAAATCAGTGGTTAAGTTGTATTTACAACACTGTTCCAGAACAGTTCAACCCAAATATTCAGATGTGTGCAGCACATTTTATGGAGGACTGTTTCCTGATCCTGGTAGAGTAGACTACAATGCCGGCTGTTCTGACTCACAGACTAAGTACGTTTTCATATTTAAAGGATTTGCCACTGATGATTCAAACGCAAGTTTTGAGCAGTGTAGAGTAGCGTTTGTTGTTTGTCATTTCTCCGATCACAAATGCAGACATGGTTTTATGTTTATGTGGCACGATGCAACGCAACACGTAAAAAGACAGTATAAGTCATTATAATCTGTAATTATGTCCCCACTGGATGCAACAAATGCCTAGTTTATAATGGGTTTTAATGTTTTTGTCTCGTCGCTCCGGGACACGGCATCACAGTATGGTAAGGGGCGTAACATTTCCGTCACATGCTTGAGGAATTCGGCCAATCACAACGCACTGGATAGCTGGCCAATCACAGCACACCTGAAATCGACGCGTTTCAGAAAGGCGGGGCATATAGGAGAAACAATGTACAGTATGTGGAAAATAATGTGTTTTTTTAACCTTAAACCACAAACACCAAATAATGTTATTTTTTAGCAACATCATATGACCCCTTTAAAATAGCATGGAATGGAAAGGCCAGTGCATGCTTCAGAATTTCTCCTTTTGTGTTCCACTTAAGTACAACACAGTTTTAGAACATCAACAACAACTAGGCAAAAATGACTCTGAAAATTAAGTTATTTCTGAGGAAAAGTCTATCATTTGGTTTTTGATTATGTAAATGAAGTGAAGTTTTGAATGTTTTAAGTATTGATAAAGTGTCTCAATACTCACCACTGTATAGGGTTGGGAATCAAAAATCAATTCCAATTCCAGAATCGGATACTTAAAGAGCACCTATTATGCCCTTTTTTTACTAGATGTAATATTGGTCTTGGGTGTCCCCAGAATGTGTCTGTGAAGTTTCAGCTCAAAATACCCCAAATAAGAATCGATAAGTAGAATCGGAATTGATCAAATTTAAACGATACCCAACCCTACCACTGTATATACATGCTTTTCATTCTCAGACATTTTCCCTGTCTATATATTGGTTGCATTTTTAAAGTAGTAACTACCCCAAACATAAAAATGTTTGTAATTTTTTTGGGTAAGTAATGGTGAGTATTTGTGTGACAGTGGTGAGTATTTGGACACTTTAGCCTCACTTAAATCTTTCAAAAAGCGACTTCATTTGATTATAAAATCCAAATCTAATGATTTTGCCTAGACTTTTATCCAAGAGATCTTATATGAATGCAATTCTCCTTCTGTGCCCTAGCAGAGTATCCACAGATGTAGATCTTCACATAAACAAACTTTCAACAATTACTGTATAAACTGCCACAACACTTGTCTTCATTTAAACCAATTTATCTAGACCACGTTTTGCTTGTGCTTTCTCTCCCTAAAAAAAAATAAAAAATTCTAACTGCTTTATTATTTTGTCATCTAATGCAATGAAATCATACATGAAATGCCTCTTAAGTGTCCAAAATGCTTTTTGGTGCAACTCTAGTTCTTTGCACAAAACAAATATTTGCACAACACTTTCAATGGAATCTTTTCATATTTAAAGGATTTGCCACTGATGATTCAAACGCAAGTTTTGAGCAGTGTAGAGTAGCGTTTGTTGTTTGTCATTTCTCCGATCACAAATGCAGACATGGTTTTATGTTTATGTGGCACGATGCAACGCAACACGTAAAAAGACAGTATAAGTCATTATAATCTGTAATTATGTCCCCACTGGATGCAACAAATGCCTAGTTTATAATGGGTTTTAATGTTTTTGTCTCGTCGCTCCGGGACACGGCATCACAGTATGGTAAGGGGCGTAACATTTCCGTCACATGCTTGAGGAATTCGGCCAATCACAACGCACTGGATAGCTGGCCAATCACAGCACACCTGAAATCGACGCGTTTCAGAAAGGCGGGGCATATAGGAGAAACAATGTACAGTATGTGGAAAATAATGTGTTTTTTTAACCTTAAACCACAAACACCAAATAATGTTATTTTTTAGCAACATCATATGACCCCTTTAAAATAGCATGGAATGGAAAGGCCAGTGCATGCTTCAGAATTTCTCCTTTTGTGTTCCACTTAAGTACAACACAGTTTTAGAACATCAACAACAACTAGGCAAAAATGACTCTGAAAATTAAGTTATTTCTGAGGAAAAGTCTATCATTTGGTTTTTGATTATGTAAATGAAGTGAAGTTTTGAATGTTTTAAGTATTGATAAAGTGTCTCAATACTCACCACTGTATAGGGTTGGGAATCAAAAATCAATTCCAATTCCAGAATCGGATACTTAAAGAGCACCTATTATGCCCTTTTTTTACTAGATGTAATATTGGTCTTGGGTGTCCCCAGAATGTGTCTGTGAAGTTTCAGCTCAAAATACCCCAAATAAGAATCGATAAGTAGAATCGGAATTGATCAAATTTAAACGATACCCAACCCTACCACTGTATATACATGCTTTTCATTCTCAGACATTTTCCCTGTCTATATATTGGTTGCATTTTTAAAGTAGTAACTACCCCAAACATAAAAATGTTTGTAATTTTTTTGGGTAAGTAATGGTGAGTATTTGTGTGACAGTGGTGAGTATTTGGACACTTTAGCCTCACTTAAATCTTTCAAAAAGCGACTTCATTTGATTATAAAATCCAAATCTAATGATTTTGCCTAGACTTTTATCCAAGAGATCTTATATGAATGCAATTCTCCTTCTGTGCCCTAGCAGAGTATCCACAGATGTAGATCTTCACATAAACAAACTTTCAACAATTACTGTATAAACTGCCACAACACTTGTCTTCATTTAAACCAATTTATCTAGACCACGTTTTGCTTGTGCTTTC